TCAAGGCGATAAACTGTGAACGTGAAAAACTTTCGAATATGAAAAACACTATGATCTCGTGAAACGTAATTTGCATTTGTAATATTTACGACAAGTACTTGATTTTCCGACTGCAATATTAAGCTCTAGAAACTGTACTGTTTATCTCTCTGGTAGGAGCTTATAGATCTCGACGAATGAGTGACAACGACAGCTGGATAGGAGTATCGACAATGAAAATAGAAACAGACATTCCTATACGGAGAAGCGTCGACTATGAACCTCTACTCCAAAAGCAATATTTCAACTATGACAAACTCACGGATAATTCTGACAAAGATATTAACATCACCATCTGCATACTTTCGCAATACCAATGAAATATAATACTTTATTATATTATTATAATAAAGAGAGTGTAAACGTTATGACTGTGAAAGAAAGACTGCAAACCTATCTAAAGATATAATTAATCTTTTAAAGGCTCTAAATTTTAAGAAATTCTATCAAGGAAAAAAAACACCTTTCTTTATTCTATTATTCTATACCATAAAATCTCTATATCATGTGACCAATAAAACAAATATATCTTCTATTCTGATTGAATACATTTTATATGTTTTAAGGTAAATACCTGTGACAACAGCAAACTTCATGATTTTTGCTCTAATTTATTTATATTGCATTTTTCAGTAAAAAGAAAACATTGTCATTTTTTCAGAAAATCTATATAATTGTAACTAGTAAGTAAATTAGTATCTATAAAATTTCTAAAATTCTTGGTCTCCTTTAAATATTTTGAAATATATGTAAACTTTCGTGACTGTCTTATATGAAACAGCTCATTTTAAATTAATTGTGTTATTTTGAAATCATGACCTACAATATTTTATATTTATAGTATAATGCGTATCATATCAGAACGCACATGATATAAAACAATCAATTTGAGTCATTTTCCATTATGGATTTTGTACCATATGAATATACTTTCGTTGTTAAGATCAATAGAACAATTTGATTACATTGTAACGAATAAACTGTTTCATCAATTGAAAATTTTGATAATAAACAATTTACACTGACTGACTTCCAAACCCTCGATATATTAATCGAATATTTCAAATATTTATAAACTAGTATTAATACAATAAAGTATTAAGTATGAAAATTAAAGAAAAATGATCCTCGCATATCCAACATAAATTAAAGAACAATTTAAAGATATACTTCGCTGAAGTACTTCTCCGTAATTAAAAATTTAAAAGCAGTGAAAACTTACGATGTTACGTAATAGATAACCAAAAAAAAAAGAATAATTAGAACCAATACCAACAAAAATGGAAGTTTTTATTATAGCTTTGTTCTTTGTAACTTTGTTCGCGCGAGAAAGAACAGTGTTAAAAATCCTCCGGTAGAAACCCTCGATGGAATAGCTTAAACAGAAGCTGACACAGGAGACAGGTGGATCTAAATAAAGATTGGACCAATGCCAGAATCTCCAAGATGGCTGAACCAAGATGCAAGGCGTGTCATCGTCGTGGTCGTCGTGGTCGTCATCGTCGTTGTCGTCGTCGTCGTCGTCGTCGTCGACGGCGGTCTGTTGTAGAAACTTACGACACTACGGATTTACTAGCACCAAGAAAATCCCCTCTGACGTACAAAACGTCTCTCGGTCGGTGTTGAATTTCACTTTTCCACCTACGTTCTGCTAATTTGAGGACATGTGCTTCGCAATACGAATCTATGATTATGCGTTCGACGTGAATGATAATCTTACGAATCTACTTTCACGTTAATAATCTATATATGCATTAAATTTGCGTATTTGTTTGACGGAATTTTTCTCATTGTCAGTTAGAAATTTTTCTCATTTGGATAAAATGACAGTTCTATTCTATTCTTGGAATAAAAATTAAATATAGAATTAAAAATTAAAAATGATAACTGGCAACTTTAATATATTTGACGAAATTTCATTTTTAATATTAATTTCATTTTCAATAATTTGAATAGATTTGATGAAGCTCTTTTATTAGATCATTAAATAATGACAAGCAATAATTTTAATATTCAGAATTTGTAAAAAAAAAAAATTAATATGTGGAACAAAAATAATAAAAGAGCAATCATTCTTGCATCAGTTTAAGGAGAACAACTTGCGACTATTTGTCCTATGAAAAATTATTACAATTTAATATGTAATTAATTGAACATTTTTGTACTTATCGTCTACTGACATTCAATGTGGCATAAATTTCTTTTGAACTTGTTAAATTGCACATTGCTGTTCTTTTCATTTTCACGCCCAATTTCTTTGTCAAAGTCATCAATTACAAGTCAGGACGTCTCCCGTTGTCTTTCGATTCGAATAAAAATTGATCATTTGAAATGAATAACAAAGATCATTTGATTTGAATTGATAATTCACCTTTGATAGAAAGAACAATTTCACAAGCTTATCTAGCTTTGATAATTGTACGCGATTTCGATATTGTATTTTCACGACATCGAATATTCATATTCCTGTAAAAGTAAAATTAAAAAAACAATCCCATATGCAAATTTATTTTCTTGAATATCCTAATGACAGACGGTGCACCGTGTTATATTAAAGTTCAAAAACCACCACGTACAACACCAAAAAATACAACACCAATAGCGACACCAAGTGTAGTGTAAGCCTTAACCACACACACAAGGTTATTAATATTATAATGGTTAGCGGAGCCTGTACACTCGACGGATCTCCGTTTCATCTAAATAAAATTCGTTCATACATCAAATGGTAATGCGTTAGTAGATACTTTTTTCTTTCTCTCCCTTTCCCCTCCCTCCTCCTCCTCCTCCTCTCTCTCTCTCTCTCTCTCTCTCTCTCTCTCTCTCTCTCTCATAGAATTAAGATATTCAAAAACATATTCACACGAAATTTATGATATGGAAGACAATGATATCGAAAGAAAAAAAAAACGTTGCAGTTTTGTGTTAGTAAAACAGGAACGAAAGTGTTTCTGGTTCTTTTTCTCTTCGTGGCGATTCTAGTATTCGATACCGTTCGATATCTCCACGAATTTCTATGCTGTGCCCAAGAATCTGACTGGGCCAAACGGGGTAAACCGCGATAAAATCGATTGCCACGATGAAAAATTAATGAACGTTGTCGTGTTTCGCGGCGGTGCGGGTCGATTTCCGGTGAAAAATACGGGAGATCCGCCGCTTCGAAGAATCGACCGTATCGTTCATAATTCAACGAAATTCTGCTGCACGCGGTTAATCTCTTCTTGCTATTTCCTTCTTGTTCTTTTCTTCTCGTTTCTTTTTCTTTTCTTTTTTTTTTTTAACAACCGGATAAATAATTCGCAAAGCGAACATTCTACGTGACGATTTTCCGCGAAAAATCATTCAGCGAACTGAAATTCGTAAAAGGTGACTGTATTTCCTGATATTTTGTACTAATTCCAACACGGAATAATAAATATTTATAATTGTCAATAATATTATTTTTACTATTGTGTAAAAAAAAAAAAGTTAACGCGAAAATTAAACGTTTCAATAGAAATTGACGAAGTCCCGTCACCAAAAACAGACCAAAATAATATAAAAAATAAATGAAAACAATGCGAAAAAAATTTAGGAGAAAAAGAGCAAAATGCTTCGTCAAACGAATAAAAAAAAAAAACAAGAAACGAAATGATAAAGAACCATAAAAGACGTAACAAAACATTTAATTGGATGAATGAAATTCGATATCTGATAACAAATGTCGCCATCGGTGATCGATTTTGAGACATTTAATGGGCAAATTATGCGTCTATTTGTGTTATAGAATTTAGAATTTTAATTGAAAACATACTACGTTGCCTCACTGTTATTACCTTGTTCACTAAAAAAAAAAAAAAACTAATGTATTACGAATTATTACGAATTAATCAGACAATTCCTATTAAGATCATCATTATACATAACATTATAATTATTGTAATTAATATTATTATTAATATTATTACGATTATTATGATTATTGTTGATTAAGAAAAAGAGTGTAAAAGAGTAAAGACCAAAAAAGTCAAAACCAATAAACAAACAAATCTCTCAGCAACCGCAATCACTGTCATATCACTTCACGTCAACCTCATCAAGAAAGAAGAAACAAAAAACACAACCAAAAAAATACAGTAGTAGAAGAAGAAGAGGCCGATCCTCGGAAGTCTGATTTTGTAGAAATAAATTCGTGGGTACTCATGGCTTCTGATACGTGTGCGTGTGCCGCGTTCATTCTCTCTCCCTCCCTTTCTTTTCTCATCGATTTGCAAATATCTCTGCCCCTTCTTTCTGTTTCTCTTTTTCTCATATATATCTATATATATTTCGTTTCACGTCTCTCTGACTCTTTCCGTTTATCTCCCTTTATAAATATATATATATATTTTTTTTTATATTTGCGCTCTTTAGAACGGCCCTTGGCGCTCTCAAGGATCTCGAAAAGGGAATTCTCGTCTTGCTCCCTTACGCTCATGCGTCAGGATGCTGAAACGTTATATATAGTCTGTCTTTAACAAAATATTCACAACATTATCAAGCTGAAACCGTCAAGCGAGTACTCGATTTTCCAGTGTTTCATTTTCTTTTTTTCCCCCTTTCTTCCTAAAATTGTCCCCTCTTTCGTGATAAATAAAATTGGTATCAAAAAATCAGAAAAAAAATTGTTCTAACGTGTCTCTTCCTTTTATAACAAAATACGTTGTAAAAAAAACCATTTGAAAAATATATTCAAACTGTTGTAAAAAAAAAAAGTAGGTACTATCCTAACTACTCAAAATCGAATGATCGTTGGTGCATCGTTTTTTTTTTTTTTTCCCCTTTCTATCTCAATCTGTTCGTATTAAATTAACATATATAAACGATGCAATTTAATTTCAAATAGCGAGGACTCCTCTTGACTTATGCTGTTTTTCAGTAACTATGATTACATGTATAGTCTTAACATTTTTGGACAAATCACATCAACGTAGTTGACTTACCCATATTGGCCAGGAAGAACTGCGGGATATCCAGCTCGAATGCCAGCAGCGAACGGGAACGCTGAAATCATAAACAGTTTAAAGTTAATCCTACGTTTCTAATGGCCAGTCCTGAACTCGAGCACCCATCTTTGTATAAATCGAACATCCGGTTCTTTACAAATATCTCTATGTATTCTTTTTCATCTAGTCTAAACTAGAGAATATTATTTAGCCCTGTTTGTAAAACGCGACGGCAGATGTATATGTATGTTCTTCTTTCAGGAATAGATTTCTACTTGCAAAGTGGAAAAAGAAATGAAGAATATTTCTCTACTTTTACTGTGGTATTTCCGATATGAAGTATTTATCATTTATATGTTTTTATTGCTCGTAAAACATTATATTTTAAGCATACATAGACAAAGTTCAGTGTGTGAAATATATAGATTTATCAATAGTTCTTGCCTAAAGTATTTCAATAGTTCATTGAAAAATGAACACGTCTGTCACTGTATAATGCAGCTGGAATTAACATACAGTAAAATATTAAATTAACTATCAGAATGAATAAATGCAGTAAAAATGTACTTGAACTTTTACACGCCGGTACTGTATATATAGGGTGTCTCATTTTAATTTATTTAAGATAATTATTATTATCTCTGCAACTATTCATTATTCTAATAAATATTTAAAATAAAACTTGTTTCAAAGAAGATATCTTATCACCAAATTTGCCTAGATAGAGGTATTTCTTTTTTAAATGAAATTATATATTTCTTTATACATTAATTTCCTACAAAATAGTATTGATCTATGTATGTTGCAAAATAGTATTGATCTATGTAACGAAATTATTAGTTTAAGAGATATTTCAACTTTAGTTTTGTAAAATCTCTCGTATAAAAAATGAGAAAAGAGTAGAAACGATATTTTTGTTGTGGTCATATTGTCCTTGTCTTTCATTAAATTTTTTACTAGCGCTAGCACTTTCATGCATCATTTTTTATTAAACTCATCAACATCATTTTTCGACATACATAGATGATACTTTTTTATAGAGAATGTCAGTCTGCATCGACTAAAGTATAAAAAAAAATAATTCCATTTTAAAAAAGTGGAGGTGATTGAAATCCCGGAAACGTTTCCACCTAAACAAATCTGATAGCCATCGTAATATTCTCAGATAAATAAATAAATTTATTAAATAAATTTTATTTCAAAGATTTTTTCGAATAATTGCGGAGATAATTGCACGAATGAATTAAAATGAGACAACCTGTATATAAAATATATTATTTATTTAGAAAAGATTGAAAGACTCAATTTTTAAAATTAAGTTAACCGAAAATACAAAAACTTTGAATTTATTTAAAGTAAAAGTAACTTATAAGAAACAATATATTTCAACTCTACTAACTTTCTTTCTCTTTCATTAAATAAATATTGTATGAATGACTGTAATGACTTTACCCACAGTAAATCAATTGACTTTAAATATCAACTTGTTTTTATCATTAATATGCAACTTTTTTCAACTTCTTTTGTACATATATATCTATTTACATTGAAAAATTGTATTTTATACATACACAAAAATTTTACATATACAATATGTATGTATAAAATAACACACACTTTGCATACATTTATATCCTAATGATATGCTTTCTATAAAAAAAAAATAGACTATAATGCATAATAAATTCAAAATTATCATTAGCAGATAAATTACAATACGAATATAGAATATTTTATTACATAAAGATAGCAAGCACTTCATATAAATTGATTCAACTAAGCAAAATGAAAAAAATATTTGACATATTATGATGATAAAATACTTTTTATAAATATCAAGATATCCTCTGAATGTAAAATATCTTATAAAAATATATTTTAACTATTATAATGTACAATATGTAAACTGTAAATAATTAATTATTTATGTAAATATTAATTAATTTTAAATATAAATATAAATCTATATCATCTACAGAAAATTTTAAAATATCAAATTGCCCAGAATGTAGGTAACATTACAAAATATTCTAACTTTTCAATTCTATTTTTATTCTTTTCTTTTTTTATTTCTATTTTATATGTTATTTCAACTTCTTTTTTTTTTAATTCTAGTTTTAAAAAATCTCAAAAATCCAATTATATTGCATTCAATTGAATTGTTAATTTGTTCGAGAAATACATTTTAATCCTAAAAGTATCACAGACAAACATGATTTTTGCGCATGAGAAAAAAAAAAAGAGACAAAGCCGGTGGCACTCGGGTTAAAGCAATTTTAGACTTAGGTGCCGAAACGCCAAGCTATGTTGGCCTGGAGCCATCGCAAGTGTTCAAGAAAGTGATCCGATTTGCGCAAATGTCGTTCGTAATGCTGTCTTTTGCCCTTTCATCGTTGTTCCAACTTCTTAAATTTATATACGATTATAATTAAACTGACAGAATCTAACTAACAGGAAATATGGGTTTAAATAAATTAGATGTAGAAATTAATTCAATGCCTTTTGAGATAAATTTATTTTATTTTGTTTTGTGATCATTAAAATTGTTTTCTGCGTCATTCCTTATTCTAAATTTCGTCATTCTTTCTTCTTTTGAGGAAAGTTTTCATTCAATAAGTATTCAAATTCTTCAAATTTTCAAGTCAAGACGATCTTTGATGTAAATTACTAATGAAAAATCCCTAATTGAAGATTATTAATAGAATAATTTACACTGTGTTTTATAAATATATTTTACTCAACATTCAATACAAAGGCATCGAACTAATTTCTATATCTGATATAATTTGACTTTCTCTACAAGGCATAAATTTCAAATCTTCTAATTGGCATCTGAATTAAATGTCCCATTAAGAGAACCTTTGTGATGAATTTCCAAGTGACTTAGACACGTATCCTCGATATATCAAACAGAAGCGTGACTCTCCGTCCAAGTATACATGTATTACCCGTTAGTGTGACGAATGAAATTCGTTGATTTGGCCACGCTTCAACAACGTAAATCTCGTGACAATGACGCGCAAAAATCATCTGATAGATTAGAAATGACATCTATTCCGGTAAATCTCTTTATATATCGAGACAAAATTTGAAAGAACTATTATTCTCTGTGCAATTTCACGAATCATATATAATATACAAATGGAAATTGATCTATTAAGAATACAAATTTTATCAAGAATTAACGTTAATGTGAAATGAAGAATACTTGTATAATATACTGTTTTACATAAAATACATAAATATCTTATTAGTTGTTATGTGATATTCAGTTGATAAAATATTTCAATATTCATTTAATTCAATTTAATGATAAAAGTCAAGAGAAACATAAAACCGAAAAAAAGAGTAACTATTTATTCGCCTTTCACAAGTTAAATTTTATAAAATCTTTTAAACTAAGCAATTTTAAATACAAATATAATATTAAAAACAAACCAATGATCTTGAAATCTTGAAAAATGATTTTAACAAAACTGTATCCTTTGAAACAGTATAATTTTGTTCTAAGTTGTTTCATTCGACAGTAAATACGATACTCTAAATACATGCACAAAAAAATATCCATGTACTGTTAAAAACTTCGAAAAAATATTTGAAATCTTTTTCTATGCTTTAATAACTAAAAATTAAACTATTAGAATGCTAAATAGTAATTGAAAGTAACCAAAGAATTAGTACCTAAATATTAATGAAAATGTAAGTGCAAAACCACTCAAGCGACAAAAGACCAAAACACCAGCAATTGAAGAATCTATTCCTAATATTTCACATAATTCATATTCATTCAATAAGCATTTACATACTGCTGAGCAAACTTACTCGCTTGTAGGTTACCCCTAGGCTTAGCTCCAAGAATCGCCAGGTTGACGTTTGCTTTGCGGCCGTCGATTATGGGGTTAGGGTCTTTGCACGCCCTCTCTGCTGCTGGCCTGTCTCCCATGATCACCTGCGTACAGATCCAATCGATTATTCGACTAATCCTTCCGCTTCACCTGGATCTTGCACGCCTCCCCCTCATAAGCAGCGATACAACAAGCCATGTACGTATCGTGCATGTAATACCCGGATATTTCAGATAATCTAATCGGTTGGTTAAGCGCCAAAAATCGATCACAATTTTTCAATGCGAGTTTTAACCATTTCGTCTACACAATTATATATGTACTTTATTATATTAGTGAAAATAAACTCTACAAGGTAAAAAGTGTTCATTCACAAAGAAATTTTTTATTCTCAATCTAAAAGAATGAGAGAGATTTTTATTGACACGTTCAAAGATATTTTTTTCAATTATTTTTAAACTTTGCTCGAAATTTTCGTCGTAAATTTCCTTCATTTTTATTTACAGTAACTTGATATTAAAAATATTCAACTTCAACAGGATGAATAAGAAATTTGTACGAGAAAATTTAATTTAATTTAATTTAATTTAACTAACTTATTGGACAAATTACAAATAAATATAAAACTTGTAGATGTAATAATGTAAAATAAATAAATAAATTAACGAAGATTATATTATAAAATATAAGTAAGATTATGGATTATTAAATCATCATAATAACGATGGTTATCTCATAAAATTATAAGTATTCCCGCAAACAATAATAAATATCTTTAACAGAATTCATTTCGACAATAAGGGCAATAAGGACATTGACTCGTATATTTCCATATTATCCTATAATTATACATATGTGATAAAAAGAGAAACTGATAACGAAGTACTCTATAAGCCTTTACGCAAGGAAGAACATTATGGTATACTGCATACTACAGTTAACAAAACATGTCTTTTTGAATACAAGAGAGCAAACTGGTTACGCGTTATCGCAACAAATTATACTATATTATCTTTGCGCATGTGACGACTATAGAATATGACGGTTGAAAAAGTGCTTCCGTGCTTAATATAAATGAAAGTGTATAAAAATATTTAACCCTATAAAATTATTCAAATTTTATTTAAATGAAAGACCATTGCAAAAATACATAGCAAACAACACGTTCGTTTAAAAAAAAATTTTCCAAACGAAATAATTAACAAATTGTTTTGCTTTAATTTATTATCGATTCAATTATAAATCCATTTATAAAAGATAAAATTCTATCGTTCAATATTTGATAAAATTTCATCGTGCAATATTGTTACTATTACTTGAAATCTGTTTCGATTTAGTAAACCTATAACTTCTAGAAATTACCAATAATGATACAAAGAAAAATATACTTAAGCCACTCACTCCGAGCTATTCACAAACTTAAAGCATTTCACAACAACGACTGTCAATCAGGAACAACCAAACAAAATATCAAATAATGTGTTATTTAAGATACTTACGAAACCATAGCCTCTACTTTTGCCAGTCTGTCTATCGGTAATGACCACTGCTTCCTCGATGTCGCCGTACACGTTAAAATGTTCCCTGAGACTTTTGTCGGTCGTATGATAAGGTAAACCTCCGACGAAAAGTTTCGTCCATGTAGTGTCTTTTTGTTGAGGCGTAGTACCGGCTAACGCGCCAAGGCCCGAGACTAATTCGTCCGGCCCTGGCGCCCCAACGGCACCAACCGCACCGACGGCACTAAGACCAGCGGCACCAGGCATCAACATCCTCCAAATTTTGGCGAGATCACCGCCGCCGGACGGGAGGACGATCTGCTCAATTTTGACACCTTCTGTAGTACTTTGGTCAACGCTAATCACGTCACAGGCTCAGCAGCATTTAGACGAGCGATGATTTGGTTATCTAAAATCAAATTCAAATTTCAAATATATTACTTCTAGAAATTGTCACTTTTATTTTGTACGCTAGAACATTAACACTGAACCATTCTTAGGATAGATTTTATATATAATTTTTATTAAATTTTGATATTTAATATTTAGTTATTTATCTTAATACTTAATTTTCGAAACGTTTTTATTACTGTTATGATAAATTTAAAAGATGATTCCGATATAAAATTTATATCATAGGAAAATATTTACAATACAATAGAATAAAGAACAAGTTGTATTTATATATTTTAGGAAAACTCGTTGAAAATACGCTAAATCTATAAAACTGTAAAACTAACTCTATAAAACTTTTATGAAAAATTACCAATTAATATTGACCACTCTGACAATTCTAGTCTTAAATAATTACTCTCTTGATACGTTTTAAATTGATATTTCTTTCAAACATAATTTACATAAAAGAACATAATATTTTTGTTAAAATTGCTATCTTCCGGTTCTTAATCTACAGTTTATTAAGATTGCAAATGTTTGTGCATTTTTGAGAAATGTAAAATTAAATCTAGTAAATGTAATAATAATAAAATTAAATCTAGTAAATGTAATAATAATAAAAAAAATCTAATAAATGTAATATGTAAAAGTATATGAAACATTCAAAGTGAAACATTTATTATAACATATTTAATAGATGAAATTTTCTATTTAAATTCCATTTCTTTAATTATGTTCATAAAAATATATCAATATTCGGAGTCTAATTTTTTATCGACTATAAACGAAGTAATTTAATCTCTTTTGTTTATTAAATTAATATCAATTTTATTGAGAAGTTCATTAAAGTTTACTATTTCAAAATACATTAAAATTTACTAATTTTATTAAAGTTTAATATTCACTGAGGAAGTTATTACTTCTTTATGCAATATGAAAACGAAAAATTGTTTTCTAAGATGAAAATGTTATACATTTGGTATCAATATTTATTCTAATATTATTGATAAATTATTCATCATCGTCATTATTATATACCTTAATCCTCATTTGTCAATTTATATCAATTTGGCATATTTCTCTTATAAAATATTATACATATTATACAAATATTTCTAACATATAATTTCGACATTTTTGGTAACAAAATATTTTGTCAAAGTTGTAAATAATATTCGTTTTCAAGTCCTTTGACGGGTGTAATGCGTTCTAATTATTATTATTATATTATATACAATCATATATTCACCTTTTCAATAATGCGTGTAAACGTTTATAATTTTGGAACATAATTATAACATACAATTATAACGAGACTAAAGAAAGTAAGATCAAGATATGAAATCGATCTGTACGTAATTTATATGTGAGAATAGGATTTTTGTAAATCTTACACGCAATTAAATATAGAAATTTGATTTATTTACTGTTTGGTATATTTATTCTTACCAATACAAGAATTTGCAAATTTAATTATTTATTTTTTGATTGTAAACATTAATTATTTACTATTGTGTCAATTTGACACCAAGGAACAAATTAAGTTGGAAAAATGGAGGACAAATGAGAATTAAACATTGAAAAGGAATAAATTTTATTTGAATTTCCAAATATATTTGATTCTGTAATCACGTAAAATAGAGTATGTAAAACTTAACGAAGAAATTCTTTTTGAGGATATAAATAAATCGAGGATACATATGTAATAATATTACTCCAAGACGAAAGTGACTGATAAATTACGGAATGTTTGAAATGTAATCTTACTGTAAAGAAAGGTAACATCGATGGAATTCTAAGAGAAATTCGAAACATGGTAAAACGGAGCGCGACATGAAACAAGGAAAAAGCAGAATGTACGCGTTTAGAATTTAATACCCGTGATACACGACGCTCCATCGCCCCGCATGATCTTCGTTAAATGCGCAAACATAGTGCACAAGCATACCGCGCATTCATGTTCATGTAAAAAAAGATTTCATGTATCGTACATCGCGCCAAAGAAAGAACCGTTTCTCCCCTTTCTTATCCCGATATTCCAAGTACAGTTCTACCCTCTTCTTCTCTCAATTCTCTTGAATCGATGACTGCTTCGTGCATATAAAGGGAACAGATAAAAATCCCCTTCTGCGCGGAAGCCGGACCCCTATTATAACCAGGGAAAACCGTCGTGGAGTCTACCGTCCAGGAACAAGAACAGAAACAGGCACCACTGGTACGGTGGTGCCGAAACAAGAAGGATGCGGAAAGGTACCTCGGAGAACAAGAAAAGGGCAAAGAGAGAAGGGACCCTGACCTCCATTCAAGGTAGGCTCGGTAACGGCCTAAAAAGGGAGCCAGTTTTCTTGCGAGGAGCAGAACTGCCTGGTCGAACCTAGCTGCTAGTAGTAGGGTATTTTTCGTGGTGGTTCGGCTTTCGAGTTTCTGCAATGCTGAAGATAAAGATAGAAATAGAGGTCTGCAGTTTACATAGAAAGGGCCCTCTTTCTACCACACTCTCCCCCCTCTCTCTCTCTCTCTCTCTCTTTTTCCCTCTTTCCTTCTCTCCATACTCTCACTCCCTCTTTCTCACTCATATTGTGCACACCAGGCCCTGTGCGAGGTGGGCCCTACGGTCTCTCCTGATCACTCCTCTCCTCTCCTCTCCCATCACCCCCTGCAACCCCCCTCCCCCCACCTGCCTTTACTACTACCAGCACCATCCATGACAGTGCACCACTTCGGCCAGGACGGCCCTTCCTCGTCTGTTTCTGTCGGATCCCCCAAAACGACGGCAGCTGCTGCAGAAAACCGGTGCAGCACGCCGTATAATCATATTGTTGTATTGCCATCGGGTTCCTCCTCCACCACCATTGGTTGCTCTTTCTCTTTTCCATTCTTTCTCCCTCTTTTTCCCCATCCTAGAACTGAACGCAACTACACTTGGGACGTTCGGTCGAGCATAAAGGCCGCTTTTCTGAATTCAGCTACCGTGGAAGCAACGACCGTATTACGTACACACTATGTTGATAAATACTATGGCTCGCGTAGTTTCAATTTTTTCTAAGTTTCCTGTCGAATACGTGGCCAAAATTTGTAGCCACTCGAAGAGTAGCACTTTTCGCGTATAGCTTGGATAATAACAATTCGCAGAAGTAGTATAGGCGCTGAATCTTTTGAGAAAATGAAATTGTCTATAAATCTGTTAGCATAAATCTGTATTACAATAACGACAGATTACTTGAATTTTGTATTGAATTAATTTTATCTTAAAATTATAATTATTCAATGGATAATATTAATAATATTATAGTAATAATTTATAGGAAATTAAGAAAAAATAACTTAAAGAACAATAACAATGTTATGGTATCCTTTTTGTAAATTATAGAAACATGGGAATCTTGAAACAAGAAAACGCTGTGGAATATCCAAGTAACATTCAAAATTAGAAAGTTATTTAAAACGGGAACATTTATGCATTTGGTTCAGTGCACAAGAATCTTCACACCGACTCGAGTAGAACGATTCTATAAAAAGTAATATCGGAAATTCAAGATTTCTATAAATTAGCTAATTTTTATAAAACCAAAAAAAAAAAAAAATGTGTTCATACAATATTTTTAAAACTATACGGAGGTTTGGTAATTAGAGAAATTATAATTATACATTATGTATAATGTCATTAAAAAAAAAATACTTCTAACTTTTCAGATAATATGGTCAACCATTGGCTAAACAATTAATTATTATAATAATTACAGAAAACGAAAGCTATGTCATAGATCAACTGTGTCATAAATCAACTAAACAATGAATTCTGTATTACTGTATTCTATAACATATATTTATAAGTCCAATCGTATTTAAAAATAGGATCATTAATAATCGTGTGACACGACTAAAGAATATTTCAAGTTATTAATGATACTGATACATTAAATTTATCAATTCAATTATAGAATAAATTTAACATTATTTAATAAGCTGAAGAAAATAATGTTTAAAGGAAAATAATATTTATATTTTATTATAGTTAATAATTTAATAGAATAATATTGTATATATCTCCAATTGAAAAAATCGAAGTAATTTCATAGAAATAAGCCTCAACTTATGAACAATCGTGTTCTGATCACGGCGTAGCTTCTCGCATTCGACACTGGCCAATTGCCACAGGCTCGACGAAACACACTAAAATATCTTCTCGGCCAAAGTCGCAAAGGCCAAAGTTTTAGAAAACACAAGACGATGCCCGGGTTTACTTATGGACCATGAAAAAATCTTTACAGAAAGATACTTTTGCAACGTGAATCAAATCATTATTGTCAATTATATATACATACGAAACTCTTTTAAAGTACGACTTTAGATGAAGCAATGTTCAGAACAATTTACATTAAAAATGTGCACTAATTCTCAGAATGATGCAGATTTAATTACTCTTTTTCTGACGCAAACGTTATAATTTCTGTTGGACAAAAAAGTTATATTTTAGATTTTTATATTATATATTATATATATCTCTAATATTAATAAAATTTGTATTTTGTGAAATATTTAATAATATGTATGTATATATGAAAATACAATAACAGTCTAATTAATGAGCTTATTATATGATTATCATTTTAATTTTAATATTAGCATTTACTTTGTTTAAATAGTATAACTTCTTACATCTATTCAAAAATTTTATAAGAACATACATATCATTGTTTTTATTGTTTAAAGATTACAATAAACAATAAAAGTACCTATATTTCCCGTTATTAGTAAAAAATATTCTACATCCTAAGATAGCATGTATATTCGTTGGATGGTGAGAAAAAAAGCAATGAAAAAAATGAAGGTTTCCCCGTTCATTTACGCCAGACGGCTGTAATCACCTGCACACGTTTCCAGGCCTTCTGCTAAAGAGAAATCGTCGAGCCGACGTCGAGGTTTATTAATAAACGTTGTGGTACACGTGCCCGTCGTCGTGTACCCCTTTGTCGCGACGAGACCGCTGCAATGGGGGTGAAAGAGGAGCAACCAAAGAGACTAAGCAGATCGTTTCACGAACACGCAAAATGGCCTCGTCGAAATATTTGATCATCAGGTAAACTGTATTTTTTATACATATTTTATGATCTCTTGATATGTTTTACTTACTTTGTCAAACTGATATTACAATATAAAAATTCATTCATATCGCCAGCATTGATCTAAATTCATTAAACACCGTACATATAAGAAAAGCTTTCGTAATATTTGGGAAAAAACTTATTTTGGTTCGAATACATTAATGGCCAACAATGAGGGGCAAACGATTACGTCACAGTATGCATTTGTAAAGAGATAATACGCAACATAATGCGTATTTAATGATTCCTTCGTTATATATTATCAAAGAATTGGAACATAGAGTATATTTTAACATTGAATAATTAACGAAATATGTGACGAGTTTTTAAATACGCACCTCCAATTCTTCGAAGCACTATCACCTGATGATCACTGAAACGTTGCCTGTTAATCCCAATGAGAAACACCAGGAAGAAATTCACACCAATAACGTGAGTATCCTTCTAACTAATGAGATAATTAATTGACGACAAAGACCGATGTTAAAAATTAGCAGTGCACACAAGAGCCGTTCGCGTTACGATAAAATTTTTACTCATTACTACGATAGCGAAGAAAATTTCAGGAGGTCTGACACGTTTAATGAACGATGATGTTAACGGCGAAACACTGTTGATGACACGTACGTAGTAACGGACGGTGTCCTTTACAATTGGCGATTTTTCGTACGCACGCACATCCGACACGAACGAAGGCCCACGTGCGAGTACCGAACTGCCTTTAAGTTTGCGGTTACCGTGCTGCGCGCCAGTTCGCCGGATTCTTCGGCGATTTCTCTTTTCATTGGTTCACTCGGTCCCCCCTCCACATCCTAGTACCAGTGGCGTAGCGTAACGACGACCGAATAAGACACGAATGAGATGAAAAAAGTAGAATCGACTAGTGACGACGTGTTGACAAATCCTTTATCATTTTACCTCGTGGAGGGATTTTAAATGCTGATCAACTGTTGTTTAGAAGCTTAAAAGATTATTATCAAAATGAAAAATCCCTTGTATTCACTTATCAATAATAATATGCTTTATCGACAATTTTTCATTTCATTTCTTACGAATTAAAAAGCGAACTATTTCTTCTAACAATAAGGTAACGAGTTATGATTTAAAATGATGTCCGTTTATTCCCTGTTTGAAATTTGTGATAGCATTACTCATCCTACTGTAATAATTAAAAAAGAAAAGAAAATAAACAAAAGACATTGTCGGTTAACTTTTGTATCGTTGCTTGCAATTTATTTTTTTTTTATTATGACTCGTGTACTTTTAGTGTACTTTGGAAATTAAAATGCAACAGAATTCGGAAACAATGTAACATTGTCACACTTTCGACAACATTTGAAAGTATTAACCCGAAATGATCCTACAGTTCTACAGGATCCACGAAGCAAGACGGTGGTCCGTCGAGGAGTATCAGCTGTTCGAATTATTATCGTTGCAGGCGACGGCAGATGTTCACTAGGCTAAAACGCTCCCCCGAAGGCTTTGAACCCGCTGATCTCTTTTCTTTAGAGCGGGTGAAAAACTTTCAAGGAAGCCCAACGTCCCGTTCAATCTTACACAATACCAGTTTCTCATTCTCACTTTCCATAAACAAGTAAAACAAATTATGAAAAAAAAAGTAAACAATAATAGATAAAAGAAATATAAGATTTTTCAACTTAGCAACTGACGTATCTTTCAATGCATAATGTTCTTAATTGCACATTTATATTTAAGACTGTTTAAATTCAAATTTGATTTTAAATAATATCTAAATGAATTTATTGCTTCCAATGCTTCTCAATATCTTGTTCTATAAAAAATATCTTGGTCGATTAAGGACTAAGCAATAATTTATCATAATTTAATGATAAAATTATAGAACTTAGATAAAAGATACATCGAGAAAAGATATTAAGTGGATCTTTGAAATTTCTTTTTATAGTCCAATATTAAAAAATAAAACTTGATAATATAAACTGATTAAATTGAATTTGCAAATGAATTGTTGCATTAATGCAACATTAGTCCTTAACAAGTATTAAATAAATACTATCACATAATAATAATATAATAATTAAATAAATTTTAAATAAATGTCTAAATTAAACTATAATTAAATAAATTTAATCTATAATTAAATAAATTTTAAATAAATGTCTAAATTAAACAAAATAATCTTATTTACCACCGTTTGTTGTATAAAGGAATCAATATCACGTGGAGTAACCCCCAAAGTTTCCAAGGCATATGTTTCCATATATAGGCACACGAAATGACTATGTACAGCAAGACACAACTAAACTAGTGCTTTTAAACAATCTTATAGACAATCTTATAGCAAAGATAATTCAACCAATCTCTTCATCGATTCTGCAGAATCGTTAACCTCTGTTCGTAGCATTGTTCGAAACCTGCCGTAAGTTACGTGTCACAAAGTATAGGATATCATCGTCGTCTACGTTTGAAGGAGACCCCATAGGTTCGTGGCACGCGCTGCCAGCTGCCCCACAGCTGTCTCTCTTCTCTGTCGTCCCCCATATACGAGACCCAGAGTTCTTACCCGAGCGTAGTGCATTTACACACAGAACGAACCTTTTCGCCTCTGTATACATATGCAGCAAGATCAAAATGCGTGTGTCCAAAACATATTTTGTAGATAGTATGCTTACATACGTTGTTTCGTCGTCGTTGCATACTCGATGAGGTGCACCCTTAAGAAACGTCGAGATATTCGGCCCAAAGAGATGAATCGACATTTTTATTATCTACGAATGAGATGTTCCTCTGATAAAATTTCATATTGTGGATTTTTATCTAGCTTCAGATTTTTATAGAAGTGATTTAAAATGGAACCTAAATAAACAATTGATTTGTTTATTAAACAATAGTTATAATAAATACTTTGAGTTTATTTACATATTTTTGCGTATTATGTACATTCTGTGTATTTCTGTGCCTTCAAATTTTTCATAAATGTATAAAAAAATTGTTATTTTTTATACATTTATGAAAAATTACATTTTTTATTACATATTTTTTATTACATTTTTATTACACTGCGAATTTTTATGCGGGCAAAATGTAGAATTTGTATCACGTTAAAAAATACTTTTACTAGTAAAATAAAATATTCTTTAATAAACAGAGTAAAATAAAATATTCTTTAATAATACACATCAAGTTAATGAAAAATTTCACTTATCAAATGATCTGTCACAGAAAATGGACTACAGTTCTTTTCGTAACCATATTTATAATACTTTGAATAATTTATATATTTTTCATATTATGTGTATTCTGTGGAATTCTGCATTTTAAAATTTTTTTTTCTACATAATTTTCTATTTATAAGAACGGTTTTTTACGTTCCTGTAAATGTTTTTAAATATTGATCGTTTACTAATTTGTTTGGAAATGTATAATTAAAACTAAAATAAATAATTTTTAATATAAAATTTAAGAAAAGACACGCAAATTATTTATTTATAATTCATTACATCAAATTGCTCTTGTAAATATATTTATACTATATATATATATATATTTATTTATTTGCAAGTACAATTTGAGAAAAAACCTCGTTACAAATGTGCACAAATATTCAATAAGATGTAATACACGGTATAAAATAAACGTAAAATATGCTTAAAAGACTCATAAAAAGTATTAATTATCTTCATGAGAGTTTTATATTTTATATTGTTTTCAATCACATATTGAAGGTTTACAAATCAAATCATTTGTCGTACTTCCAATTATGTCTAGCCCATGGAAAACTAGTTAAAAAGTTTCAATTTTTTTACATTTTATAAAATTATGAAATTTTTTGAAGACATGATGAAAAAACATTAGGCAAATCGTCGGGATCTTCCTTCTATAGCAACAAAATGAAAAATATAAATTGATTGAAAAGAATTGCATGCCCTTTAATAATTGTTTCTTTAACATACACGAACGCAATATTCGCATATCGTTTCACTAAAACACTCTGTGGAGTTTTACATTTGCGGTTTCTCATCCGGTTTGTCCGACACGCAGGAAATAGTCCTGAAGTGTCCTAGAGGATGCAAGGCTATTAGGTTTCGCGTGGAAAAAAGCACGAGCGACGTAGAAAAAAAAGTGGAGAAAGGAGGAACAGTGACAGGAGATGAAGAGAGTAGAAGTGCTCATACTGAAAGTGGAAAAAAAACGGAAAATCAAAGTACGCATGATGGAGACCGGAAATCCCAGGGCGTTCAACCCTGACACCCGTTATATATTTAGACCTAAAGAGACACACTCTAATCTGATCGCATAGATACCTTCGCGACAATCTATCGGACGCTGTGTAGAGTAAAATACAATAATTCAAAATAGAGTAAGTTTATATCTTAGAAAAAGGGAAAAAAGTCAGTTGCTTCCTCACATAACAATACAGAGATTCACCATCGATTCATGTTATATAAATTTGAAACTATTTAAATGATCTAAAATAACAAATACATTGGCACCCTTTAAGAACTTGTGCAATAGATAATCTATGCCGTTTCTGAAGAACTATGTCCATTAGCACATTGCCGTGATAATATCGACAGCCCCTTCCCCTCTCAAAAAAGAGTTAACGCTTCCGTGAAGGAAGTTGATCGTTTCCTATTTGCTTATTGCATAACCGCGCACGCAACACTGTGCCAATATATCGAGCCTACCCCTATTCATACATTAAGTTTCAAAATAACGAAGTATGTGTATAGGTTTTTGCACTTCTTTAATGTTTACTGGATTTTATCAAAACAATTATAATTTCTTTACGTAATAAAGTGTTATTGAACATTCTTCTTTCTCGCTTTAAAAATATGTAAAATATGTGTTATCAGTAGACCGCGGATTTTATGTTACAAATTAAAGGTACAAGAATACATAGATTGTATGATAATGTAAATATATGAAATATCTTTGTTATTGTTAATATTTAATAAGTGAAAAAGCTTGGATCCTACTTTTTGAATTATTCCCATAAAAAATTCACAATTATCGTTTTAAAAATTTTAACATATTGTTTTGGAATACCTATATCATAAAAAAGAAAATATAATTCTTCGATTAAATAAGAATATCTTACTATCTAACTTCTTTAATATTTCTTAATTATTAAAGATTTAATAATAAAAAGAAATTATTAAAAATTTAATAATAATAATAACGATTGAGAAATATAATTAAAATACTTTTAATTTATGATGAGTAAATAAACGAATAATTAATGAATAACAAAGATCAGAAGAAAAATTTTCTTTGTGAAAAGCCATTCGTAAAAGCTGCAAAATATTCGCGTCTTTAGAAACACAATATCAGCAGTGGCGGCCTTCTCGAAATAGACGAGAAGCCCAGCCCTCCAAACTCGTCCGAAAATAAAACAGGTTTCTTCCCTGCGAACCACGCTGTCCGATTGGTAGATTCTGACGGGAGAGTTTGCTGATTAATCAACAATTAAAAAGAATTATAATTTACATTCCATTACTCGGGTATTGTGCAGAAAGGTAACCTGCAACTTGCATTAATTTTTTTCTCTTATTGTTAGTTGTAGTAGCAATTTAGGACAATTGTATAATTCATGAATATATGCTCAAATAATATATAGTTAACAAAGAACTTGAGAAAAATCGATTTGTTAAGAAAAACGATTTGGCTGATCACTATTATTTTTTAGACAGGGTCTTTATAAGAATATATAATTGTTATTAGTGCTTATATTTACAATTAATAATTAAATATTATTTATTAACATACGATGCAAAATAAGTCTCGAGATTTTCGGACAGTAACTGGTATTGTTCACTATTCTGAACATTTTCCATATTCAATATTGATAATAGTATATAATTGAAATGTGAAGGATGATTTGCCAATGATGCATTAGAATTACAGAATGACAATCTTATGATTGACTGATGGTCGAGAGGCCCACTGATATTTCATATATTTTACAATATATTTTACAATGATTGCGAAAGATTCTTTATATTGTGTAACAGTCGTAACCTCAATCACAATAAATTGGGCGAAAAATCTATTGATTTGAACGATTTTCGTGTACGAACTCATACGATAACGGAAGACCGCGTCGCTTACATTGTTTCTAGCAACATTTGATTATTTCGTCCATTACCTTAAACGTTAATCAATGCAAATCATTTTACATTAAAAATGTGTTGTGTCGTACAAACATATTTTTATATTTGTTATAATTTTCAATCAATGGAATAGTTTAGTTATAATATCATGATAAATATGATATAGTAATTATATTATAATGACTAAATTATTCCATCAATTAAAGATTTCGATAATAAAATAATATTTACATGGTGTAAGTTATTTTTAATGAGAAATTATTTACACAAATTGGCTTTGGATTTCGATTCTTTTGGATTCATTTTAAAGAAACAATGTTTGGTTAACAATGTTTATAAAATACTTACATACAAAATGTTAAAGAGAAAAAAGTAATTTGATAACCGTGAAACACTTTTAACGTTTTCATGAAACAAATATTTCTATGTCTAAAATAAGAGTTAAATATTTAAGAAACAATATCTTATAATCACGAATATTTTTATTTTAATTTAAAATACTATTATGTACTACATTATAAAAACTGAATACACAATTATATAATAATATTAATAATTATTTGATATATACACGATTGAATACACAATTATATAATAATACTCATAATCGATGTATATGTATACATAATATATGGTGATATATAGTGATAACTAATTGCTATTGACAAAATTCGTTAATGTTTGTTATCGTTTCCAATATTTGTATGATACACACTTATCTTATGTCTTGCATTAATAGCAAGTAATTCCATTATGCTTGATCCATCTTCATTTTCAAATGCTTTTCAATTTATTTTTGTCTTATTCATATCCTTGAAATAATTGCCACTTTCGTCATAGATATATTCATGTTCATTAATAATCTTTCATATCATTAATAATATTTTCATCTTTTTCTGTCTATTTTTTCTAGTATTAATATTTCCATTAGGTATTTATTTTGCAGAAATTGCGCTTTTTCTTTTTCTAATGAATTTTAAAGAATTATTACTTGTCCATGTATGTAATATTATATATGTGTTTATATATTCATACATATATTTTTTACCAGAATTTTGACATTTATTATTCATTTGTTCAATATCATAAAAGTGTCATTAGTTTGGTTGACTACTATTTTTCAAAAAAGTTCTGTTAATTCCTTTAATGAGTTATTCATATCGTAATATTTTGAATACATTTCTAAAAACATAAATATTAAAGTATAAAAGAATTATTCCATATAATGATAGAAATTATGAAAATATGCAAATTTTTCATTTTACAACGTAATATCGACAATTATAATTATTGATTTATCATAAAAATATAAAAAAATTTCAATATGTGATTGATATTTAACGTATATGTTAATTTCGAACTTGTATAATGTATTAGATTATTCAGAAAGTCGGTAGCAGTTCTAACCATTCAGATATAAAATTCTATTGAAAATTATATATACGGTAGAATGCAAGAAGAATATCAAATAACACAAAATTCAAATGAATTTCAATTTTTATTTGATCATTAAGTGCAATAATTAAAAATATCCAAATATTGTTTCAAAAGAAATATTGCTTTTTTTTTAAATAATGGCTAAATTAAGAAATATTGAATCTTAATTAAAATGCTCTATCCTATTTATCTACTTTATAAAATTTTTTATCATAGAACTTAGTGTACTGCTCGAAAGAATCCATTAAACAATTTTTGAAACAAACAGTTATTAGATTAATAGATAGTAAAATGTCATCAAAAGGAGGGAAATTATTAATATTTAATATTTCTTGCTTCTATATTTCACTATGAACTTTTCAAACAATTTAGTTCTTAACAGCTTACGGCACTTGTATGATTATATCATTGAGTAAAAATATTATATACAATGTGATCCTTATATTTACGTAACGATACAGGATTATTAAAATAATAAATAATATTAACATTTTCACCATTTTATTAATATCTATTAATATTGATATTAATTGTGAATTATAAGGCAATATGTTTGTCAGAGAAACAGTTTAATAAAGCAATCCGCAATTATTAATATATCCAGCGTTATAGATAGTCAATAACATTGTTAATCATGAAGAATGTAATTATTTCTATTAACAATATTACTCTACTACTATTACCACAGATGAAATATATGAGCCTTCTATGTTTCGTATATCTCATCTGTGCTATTACTATTAATAGAAATAATCCTTTTATTTAATTGAATAAAATGCTTAGTTACATGCTGTAAAATATTTCGTAAAAATTATTTTAATAATTTGCAAGTAAAAAGTTTTATTTATCATTTTTGTTATAAACATGTTTTACATGGTTACGCAGTGAATACAGTATCCCTACACCAGAGGTCTAAAATCACTGTTGGTGTATACTGGTGGTATATTATCTGAAGTATACAAGAATTTTTTGTAATCACCAGGCAAGTATCCAGGAATTCGTTCTTGGTGAAATTGACTTGACGGATAAGAATCAACAGGAACAGGATAATAATGATATTTATCTGAATAAAAATTCTCTGGTTTATCATAGGGAGGTAAATTATAATTAATATGTTCGTAATCGTGATATGGATATTCATATGAATTTGTAGTCACATCGATGTGATTTATGTTTTGTGGATATCCACCGTAGTAATAACCATAAGATGGTGGATTTGTTTGATTATCCGTCGTTGAATTTTGCGTAGTATTCGTCGAAGTTGTTTTATTTAGAGATTGTCGTCCTGAGGTCGCTGACAAATCATTAATATTTTTTTTGATAACATTTTTCACCGAGCTTTGTTTTTCATTAACTCTTTTTTGCATAATGCATACAATACTAGGTGATGCCATCTATTAATAAAAAATTAATAAAAAATGAAAAATATTATAAATTATTAATTACTTTTTAAAATATTTTTTATAACAAAAGTCAGTCCTATAACTAACTGTGTATAATGATATTATAATGTAATTTCATTTTCTAGAAAATATTAATTAAGGAAAAATATTGAATTATGTGTAGAAAAAATTAATTTCAAAATCCATATACCATATTTATATGAATAATTGAACATATTTATATTTATATTACATGAAATATTACAACAGTATAATTTTCCTCCACGTTTATAAAATTTAGCAAAAAATTATAAAAATTTTTTAAATATTTTAGTAACAATTTATAAACACATTAAATCAATTTCTATTGAATGAAAAATTTATAAAAAATAAAATTGTCATATAAATTAAATAATATAAAGCTAATAAAAGTTACCGAACACAAGTGAAAGTTAAATGTGCTTGAAAGTATAAATATATTTATATAAAACATTTACATTAATGCATAAACTTAAATTGTAATTGCAATAAATTCAATAAAAAATAAAACATCGAATAATTTTCTGCTCTAATTTCTATTTATTCATTTTACTAAATTCTTACCTTTTCTTCCACGTTTCGATCGTTTTTCACTTCCGATTCTTTATTCTTGTCACTATCAGCGTTGCTCGGTGCTCTGATGCTCTCAATTTTCTGTGCTTCTTGTACACACTCATCATTATTGTTTAGCGGATTGAATTTTAATCCATTGGTTGATAGTAATCGTAGTAAATCCCAAAACGGATAAACTCCTAAAGAAGTGGCAAATATAGAAGGATATGACACATAAGGATAAGGATCATAAATTGCAGCGACTTGAGGTGAAATTCGAGAAGCATCGACGTTCACACTTAACGGTGGCAATTTAGTATAGGTTTTTATATCGGATGATGCTGCACCTGCTAAACCACCGACACTTAAACCAGCTAGAAAAGCTAAACTTCTTAAAATTTTAGATTTTCTATTTGAACCGTCAAATTCTGTATTCGCAATTCTTTCTAATTCTTGTAATTTTATCAAGTTTTGTTTCGAATATATATCCATCTGAGAGATTTCTTTCTCTGATGTTTGAACGTCGTCGCTGTCGGTAGTTATTCCTAATGATCTACGTGTCACTTTTACATTTTCTGTCGTTGCTGAGACTTTATAACGTATTCCTAAATAATAATAATAATTAATAACAATTAATGATACAATTCCACTAGAATATAAAAGAGCTTATTATTATCAATATTCAATATAAATGCAAATACTTACTGCTGTGATTAATAAAGACTACAATTAAGAGCACAAAAGTCGAGAAATTCATTGTTACTGTGCAACGATCTGAATGAGAATGAAAAGAAACTAAGGAACCTATTTTAGAGAATCTAAAACCTGCGGGTTGCCCTCATCTTTTATCTTGTGAAAGTGTATTTTTTAAATACCGTTATGTTAATTACGATGATCTAGTCTTCTTATTAGAATGTGGGTCTTTGTTACATATAATAAATATGTAATTTTTTAACATTATTATTAATTACAACAATAATATTAAATACTTATAGAAATATGTTATTTAAGTACAAATATAAATTCAAATACAAATCATAATTTAAAAAATAATACGCGTACAATGTCGAATTGCTATATTTTAATTTTCAAATTTGGCGGGCATTACAGCGACACTATCTATATATTGTACTGTTTTAGTTCCGCCATAGAAGCAGTTGATACTTTTAGAAATCAACAAATTTTCCGACAAAATGACGAATTCGGTTGAAAATAATATACAATTGAATGGAAATAATACGAATATGGAATTTGCAACTACTGAAAAACAAGAAGCACGTGCATTTCTACGTGAACGATTTCTACGTATAATTACTGGAATTGTTGGTACGAATTTCTACTTTTTAAACCTATTTCTGTTTTCATTAACCCGGGATTACCCACGTGGGGTCTAGTGCATCCCGGCCCCTAGACCCCCAGGTGGGTAATCCCGGGTTAATCAAACACAAAAATATTGATCTAACGTTTTTATAAATGTGTAATCTTGTATAAGTTTTTATAATGCCTATTCTTCAGGAAGTCAGTACAGTTATGTACAAAATTTCTCAAATGTGGCGCCAGTATCAAAAAATTTGCCTAAATTTAAAATTTTAACGTAAATATAATGGAGAATAAATTATTAATTATTTTTATGTTATAAATGTTACAAATGAAACAATTTAGAAATATGAAACAAAAAAATTACATGTGCAATTAAAATTATTTTTATATACATTTTAAAATCAATTAAAATTATATAAAAGTGTATTATAAACTACTAAATTGTATATTATTTGTTATAGGTAAACGAGTAAAATTTCATCTATATGAAAATACACGGGTTTCTGCAGAATTTAGAGGTTCTGATGTGGACCACTTGGAAATGTATGTAAGGAATTTGGAGACACCATTAGGCACGATTCCAGAAGCTGTTTTAAGAACAAATGACATTATTTATCTGGATGTGAATGATATTAATAAAGCATAATAAATTTTCAAAACACAAGTAAGCAATACTAATTTTCTTATATTACATAGGAAAGAATATTTTTATTTTTCAACGCTGCTGTTTAATAACTTATATAAATATTTATTTACATTTTATAGTTCAAGATCGACGCATATTTAACATTGTATTTATTTCTGAAATAATACGTCTTAGATGATCAATGATTTCTTTAAGATGCCTGTTTTTTAATACCACTTGCTGAAAAAGTTAAATACATGACATTTTAATTTATAAGAAAAAACTATTGTTTACAATTCTTTATATCAAACTTTATACTCACCTCCATGATTTCTTTGCTTTCTTCACATGCAAGTCTATAAGCTTCAGAAGTTTTTCTTTCATCGGATTTCATATCCCATTCTTCTTTTAAAGGAATTAAACTTTCTATATGTGTATATTCCATACCTTGAAGTTGACAGTTTTCATTACATTTTTCATAAATTACTCTCAAACGTCTAAATAATAACTTAAGAGTCCTTAGTTGCTCCTGTACTTTATTCTTTTTTTCATTAGCTAAATTAGCTCCTTGTGCCATACCTAAAGTTATAATATAATTGTATATTATAGTTATATAATATAATTAAATGTGTCACAATTATTAAAAATAATTGAGTAATTTTATTTTACCATTTGGTAACTGAAGAACTCTCAATGTTTGGAAGACTTCCAAGGTACGACTAACAATATCTTGTACAGTTTCTTGACCAAATCTACATAAACTGGCAGTGTTAAATTCCTTATTGTGTTGTTGTTGTTGTTGTTGAGGTGGTGGTGGTTGTGTAGGAGGTACAGGTGTTTGTGGTGTTGTAGCTTGGTTGCTTCCTTGATTAGTCTGTTGTACCAATGCAGCTTGTTGTTGTTGTTGTAATTGTAATTGTGCCTGTTGCATTTGTTGTACTTGTTGTTGCATTGCAGACTGTTGTTGTTGTTGCTGCTGTGCCAATACTTGTTGAGCACTAGGCATACCCATAGTATTGGAGCCTACTCCACCCACACCAACTCCAACTCCTACACCAACTCCAAATTGTTGTGGATTCACCATACCTATTAATATTTTCTTTCGATATTACTGTATTTCTTTAACATTTGCTTTAACTCTTGGCTATCTTTTAATTAATTGGTATTTATACCACCTTGTACTTACTACCTTGTTGTGGCCCCATTAAGCCAGATACCATTTGTCCTCCGCCAAACTGCGTTCTCATTGCAGATTGTTGTACACTAGGGAACCCAGAAGGAAATGGGTGTTGTTGACCAGCCATGTTATTTTAGTTTTGTCACAACTGTAAATTTGAAAAATTAAATTGATAACATGTGAGATAAATATGTGATAGCATGAAGATCAAGTAATAATTACAAAATTGTTAGGTTAGGTATTTTTTTAGTGCTATATTTTGATTGTGTTTATTTTTCACAATTTTAAATAACAATTTTATTTGAGAATTTTAATCCGGTTCGTATTTATCTTTAAATACAAAGAGAGAAGTAATGATTAAGATACTAATAAAAGTCATAAATTGTATTAACCTTCGAAATCAATAGTTTCTGTTACAATATAATGATAATCCTTACTTGATAATAAATGGAAAATTACAGAATCACGCCATCAATAGAGAAATAATAATAAAATATGCACATTTCCACTAATATGTGCAACGTAAAAGGCACAATCTACATTTTATACACACGTTGTTGACATCACATTGCGCATCTGTGCCGCGCATATAATGTCAATGATCGTGATGTGTTGCAATTTCATTATATTTTATTTAAAAAATAACGTACTATATGACACTTAATATTAACTGAAAAATCATTTTATTAAAACTAAGTTTCAACGTGAAGAATTATGTACTTACAAATTCTTTTAACTAATAACGTTACGGTGATATGAGGGTAGCAGTTCTCAAGAAACTTTACTGCAATTTATGATATATACATAAGTACATATAATACTATACTAATATATTTTTAGAATCTATAATATATCGTAGAATCTATATATATTAATATATAGAATATTTATAATAAATATATACTTTACGTTTTTTAAAATTTTATATTATAATTTTATAATTTGTTTTTATAATATTGAGAATTTTAGTATGTAATTAAGTATATGTTAAGGTGCGTTCAGATTTGTTACCATATCTTACCCCATTACCGTTATCCACTATTCTAGGTAAGAAACAAAGACATTGTTTCATGTATCGTAATTTATTTGGTTCGGCTGATCTGATTAATGTCAGAAAAATAAGCCGCTTAAAGGATGTATTTATAAGACCTTTTTGCATACCAAGATCGACCAAGTCCGAGCCTTGATTATCATCTGTTCAATTGGAACGCGATTAATTAATATTTGAAAGTTCCTCGTTTATGTAAATATCAGTAATAAACAGGTTTAGAAATGAGATCTGCATGAAATCTCATTACCTCTAAATACGTTACCTCTAAGTAACGTATGTAGTATGTAGTAATAAATAATAACAAATGTGGACGCACCTTTATGTTTCCTAGCATTCAAATTTCCATTATTCGACATACATATAAATGTATGATATTAACATACTGAGAGTTTTAAATATGACCTACAGGTAAAAAATATAATGTGTATGTCTCTTTCCTTTATATAATAATCTATTTATTACAAAATACTATTAATATAACATTATTAATATAACAATCAAGTTGCATATTATAACTCTGAAAAGCATGTTTAATTCCAAATTTATAAAAAAGAAATATGTAATACGTTTTACATTTGTTCCTATTCATAATATATTTAAAATTTTTTTTTACTTATATCTTAAAATTATGTGAATAATATTTTGTACATTATTTTTTATGTATTTTCAGTACTAAGTTATGTGTTGAAGATGAATTATGAAATGTTCCTCGAAATGCAAGATCAAAGTCGATGTCAATTTCTTGATAAAGTAGAACCAAATTCAATGACATTCAAACAATGTCCAAACAGGAGATAAGGTCAGCGCGCACGAAATGAACACAGTAGACATAACGGCCCAATCTTCAGTCTCCATGCACCTTGCTTGCTTTTGCGTTCACATTGTTTTTCTGGCACAGTCAGTATCTATCCCGTCGAGGACTGTAACTGGGCGCTTCAAGATACATACGTGCACGAAAAAATAACAGTGTGAAAGTTGCTCATCCCTGTCAAAATGCCTCGTAAATTATTAGTTTTCACTGTGATACTGTTCAATTTTATTCTATATATTGAAGGCAAAGCGATTGTAAATCCAAATTTTCAATCTAACGTCATAAATAGTGCTTCAAGAGCTCAAGATCAATATGTAAATAAGAACTTCGACTTCAAGGCAATCGAAACTGACCGCTTAAGCGGGAAAATAAACCACAATGCTTGTACTGGAGATTGTAACGAAAAAGATCAAAAGAAATTTTTAAGCGAAAGCAAGCACGTATGTCCTTATGAAAGTAAGGAATTGTGCTTGATATTCTCATTGTCGAAAATCGCTAAAGTTCAAGTGGCCACTTTAAATCAACCTTCGACATATCACAATTTAAAGTCAAATATTTTTGACAGTACGTCGAAAGATACCAGAAATTCGAAAATTAACGGGGGAAGAATGGAGGATGAACAGCTACATTCCGAATTTATAAATCGAAATAAAGACAAATATTCCCAGAATTTGTCAGAAAGACAGACGAAGTTATCAAGTATTCACTGTCGAGCAATTCGTGATGTTTACATACCAGAAGTGAAACAAAACCTACCAGCTTTTGCTTGTAAATTTGGAAACAATACATTCATATTATCGAGTGAAAGATTTCTTCAAGATCAACGATCACATTTGAATATAGGAATCGATGAGAATATATTTAAAAACATAAAAACTACTCCGAAAATTTCCGAAATCAACGGAGTTAACGTGATCCCTGCATTGCTTGTTTTAAATCTCGCTAATAACAACTATAGAATAGAAATGCATAAAAACATTTACAAGAATGAAAAAGTCAATCAGTCAGAAGGAAGTCGCTAACGAATTATCGAAGAAATAATCACGTTTTGTCAAAGGTTCGAATGTCCGGTGATAATTTTGAATTTATTATCTTTCGTTAAGTAAACAATACATGTAAATACGATAACTATATCGGTAGTTGTATCTCTGAAATAGTTAGAAGGAAATAAAATTGTACAATATAATTAACAAATTTTTTCGCTATTTTTCTTCCAATTCCGATGTGTTGTTATAAAGTATTCGGTATAAACGTAATTCGATACAGTTCAGTTTATTTTATAGTCTATCTTGGAAGCACGCTTGATCTATGCAAATTGTTCATTTCATGCGATTTTTTTATGCAGAATAAAGTCACGTATTTTGCTGGTATGAAAAAAAATATTATAAAGAAAAACTGGTATAAATTATAAAAATATTTATTTCACATATTTTCACAAGAAAAAAGATAATAAAAATTCAGAAGAATTAAAATAAATTTTATTCGCTATCAGTGTCTAATCAAGAAATATTGAAATAATTAAGTAAGAATTTGCATCTCGGTGATATATAATAAATTCAAGGAAGATTATAGAAAAATATATTTTCTGAATGCGTATAAAAAGCCGCGCAAACAGTGAAATTATTTATTGTGAATAAAAAAAAAGTCGCATATAAAAAATATCGCGTAAATCGAGAGATAAATGTATTTTATTCGAGCATATTTGCATCTCGTATTATTATCATAGATCAATGATACACAATAATGTAATTCGATTTATAACACTTGACAATAAACATCTGAATGTTAAAATCCATCGGACAGGTTGTATCACAAAATTCTATACTGTCCATATTGCTATAAATAAGTCTCACTATAAATGGTATATTATCATTTTATGATTTTAATTCCAATCATATTATCATCTTCACTTCGAATCCATTTCTAGATTGATCCTCCGTTTGTTCCTTTTCCGGTGTCGATAATATTTTTGATAAATGCGACAATTTTTGAACATTAGATATAATATTCTGGACTGGTTGTTCCTTGATAGGTGATTTATCATTTATTGTAAATGGAGTTGTAAGAGCTTCTTCAGCAAGATGTTGCAGGATATCCTTTGATATCGTCGTTGAATCATCAGTGATGATTCGATCGTCCATTTTAATTGCATTAAAAATTCGTTCATCATTCTTTTGATTCGACTCATCTGACGACGATTTAGAAAGATTGGAATCGTGTGTATTGTCTAAATTTTTGATTTCTTCTTCAATATCAATCTTCAAGTTTTTAAGATCTTCATTTTCTTCTTTAGCTAATGAGTTAACCTTAAAAATAAAATAATAATTTTAGTCGTTCATTTCAATAAAATTCTTCTGGATTTTCTTTTTCATTAGGAGGTAATAACTTCTGATTGAAACATGAAATCATTAAAGTATTTTTTAATAAGTGAATTTTTGTAAATTTAATTGCATATTTTATATTTGCAAAATATTCGTAAAAAAATATATTTCGTTTTAAAATTTTTTGTATTATATTTTTACCAACCCGTCGTAACAAAAATAAATGATAGAATTGACGTAAATTTGTTTGTTAATGATTCAATACATCACTCACAAAATTGATTAATATTACAATGTATTTAATTCAGTTCCATCGAAAAGAAAAAATATAAAGATAGTTTAATTATTTTATTTGTGTTCAGATGTGATTGGAACTTTATTGGAATATTTATCAATAATACATTCAGCAATGTTTATAATTATAAACCGCATATTTTCAATCTCAATGATATTTCGATGAATATAATTTTATATATCCAATATATAAGAAAGGAGTGTTTTCTAAAATATACTTTTCATGTTAAAACGTATATTTTGTTATGTATATATGTACTTCTATAATTTACATTTAAAATTTAATCATTTTAGCGATTCTTCTATTTATTCATTAGAAACTAAATAATAATTTATTATAATATAATGTTAGAATTTACCATATTTTTTCAATTTTTTAAAATTCGTAAAATTATAAAATTTAAGGTACGATGAATAACTATTAAATGATTGAATTCTTAGAATTTTATAAAAGATAGAAGATAAAATTTAATACTATTGATTGAAAATAATTGCAAATGAAATGTTGCGTTAATATAATATTGGTTCTTAATGAATTAAGATTGCTATTATTTGCATGATTTTTATATCTTTAGTCGATAAGTTTAATGTAAGTGTATATAGTTTATTCTATATAATGTACTTGTGCATGTACACGATTTATAATAAGGGATTTACACAAATGATTTTTTTTTCCAATTTCAAGTTATTTGAGGTTGTCATTAAAAGTATTAGATTACCGCTATTAATATATTATGATAGGATAAGTGAGAAGAACACAAGCGATTTAATGAGTCATCGATTTCCCCCTGAGATTAACCATTTATGCAGATGTCAGGCGAAAATGTATAGGATATAAAGGCAATTACTACGGTATAATCGAACTGATGGTAATATTTTTTCCGTCCTCTCGCATCATCCTTCATTAATGCGCATGTTACTAGCATGAAGCAATATCCATTTTTAATAACACAAAAGAAATCAATTAATACTGTCATGATGTATCTATACCTATAAAAAATTATTAATCAGATTTTTATACATTTATGCAAAATTTAAAAATTCAATAATGTACAAAATGTACAATATATAGAAATATGTTCCGTTCGTTAGAATATTAGTGGGTAAAGTAAATCTCTATGTAAGTTTAATTTCTATGATTGATTTCAGAGAATTTGCGTAAAAATCCGCAGTTTAATGATTAAAATGGTATGAATTTTATACTAGATAATACCATAAAATGGAAAATATACTTTTATTGTAAAATAATATTTTTTAAAAATTAAATATTACGTTTAGACAAAATATGAAAAAAAGAAATTGATGAATTGATGAAGAATTAATTTCATGGCAGTCAGCATGTTAATATACGACTTATAAAAAATAATCACACTTTCTTGAAGGTCTTTTGATGTATATTTTAATGACACGTTTATATACGTTTCTGAATTGTAATATTTTTAATATTTGCATGAAAAATATACGAAATAAAAGTCATGTTTTAACCACACAGGCTTTGATGCAATTATTTTTCTCGGATATTTATTTTCATTTTTATTCGATATCTTTCTCCTCTCTTACATCCTCCTCTTTTAATTTGATATTCTTCGCATCTTGAGAATTAAACTGATTGTTCACTTGTTTAATCGTTAGTATTAACACTGTATTTATTCACTTCATCTTCGTCAGAAATAATATCCAGAGAATCAGAAATATCATCTAAATTGGTCTTCTATAATAGCAGTTGAAGGAACTTGACTATAAATGTCATAACTTCAATATCATAGTTGGGTTATGATTATTTGTTATTTAACAAAAGTAAGAAACTGAAATTATTTGAAAAAATTACTTATGCATATATTTCTAGCAGTTATAATGCATTGCAACATTAACATTGAATTTATTAATTTTTAGCATCAGTTGCAGAACGTAAAAAGCTATTAGCCATTAGAATTATAACTTTTTTTTACAAATTTATAAATTACAAGAATACTACGCACTCTGTAGTAAATTAGTTTTGAAAAAATAATTTATATTATATATTTGTAATAGTTCCAATATTTTTATTAATATTGAATTTATTAATTTTCAATGCTAGCTGAAAATTTAGTTCGCAAGAAGCTGATTATTAGCTATTAAAATTATTTTTTTTCATTTATGTCACTTATTATTATTAAATTAGTCAAGTGAATTGTGAGAATTGTGGTGAAAGTAAATTATATACATCTTTTCAATAATAGCCGAAAAATTAATTTGAACTATTAGTTATTAAATTTATAATTTATTTTTACAAATTAACAAGATTATGCTTTACATAATCTATCGTGATTATTCAAGTTAATTAGGTCACCTTAGATAAGTTCGGTCCTTCGTGAAATGCCTCGGCTAACGCGAGATTTATTTCCTCCAGTGGTTGATCACCGTGCCTTATATAAACCGGAATATAGCCCGGGATGACAGGTAATACTTGAAGTGGGTACGAATCTAGAAAAAATTAGAATCGAATCAGAGACTAACTACATTTTCAACTGAAACGAAGCAAGTTTTAGATTCTAAAAAATAATAATTATAATTTATATCATAATGCGATGACAGCATGCATTAGTTCTCCATTTATAATTTATTTATTTATAAACTGCAAATCGTTTTGTCATTAAGCTTGAATAAGTTATCCAAAAAATATATCTAAATGATAAATGAAGCATGTTTAGGTTTCTGACTATCGTATAATTTCTTTCACGATTTTTAAATATCGTGCAAAATAAGCTAGTGAATAAATAAATTTTGTAAATTAACATGGATATATATTTTGTACAAGATATAAATTTTAATCTTTTACAGTTTATTGAAAAGAATTATAATTGCAAATCGTTTTATTATTAAGCTCAAATGAGGTATTCAAGAAGTATGTCTGAATCATTGATATATTGATATATAGTTTTTGTGTACCGTACAATTATTTTTGCAATTTTCAAATTTTGTGAATCAACATGAACAAATATTTTGCATAAAATAAAAGCTTCATCCATCATATTTTATAGTAAAAAAATTATAATCGCAAATAGTTTTATCATTAAACTTAAACAAAATATTTAAGAAGTACATTTAAATAATTAATAAACGATTTAGGTTTCTGGATATCGTACAATCTTTTTCGTAATTTCATACGGAATAAATCAGTAACCAAATTTTTTTGATCAATATGAGTAAATATTTAGTACGAGATATAAACTTTAATCCATCATATTTTATAGGAAGAAACTATTATTAAACTTGAATGAGGTAAAGGCCAAGAAATACCTAAATCATTAACATATGTCTAGATTTCTGAATATCACACGAAATAAATCAATAGGCAAATTCTGTGGATTAACATAAATAAATATTTTGCACAAAATATAAACGTCAATCCATCATGATCATTGGTATCAAAAACTTGACGTTTAAAGAAACATTCAACACACTTTCTCCCATTGTTAGCTATTTCTTTTATACACTTATACACTATATTTCCTATGATATATTCTCGATGATTTCCATTAATCATCCGATCGTTATACTCGAATCACAAATATTCTAAAGACACACAAAGAACTCAACACTTGTTGTGTATTAATTTAATAAAGCACCAATATAAATTTAGATACACGTGGGAATTTCAAAAAATTCCTTTTACTCACGGACATAGGCAACCGAGAGAGATATTAGAACCACAAGATCGTAAACGACTCTGGTACCACGCATCATCTCAGCAGCCTGCATCTTTGAACGGTACTAAGCCCCTGGAGCACGGGGCTCTCTCCTTTATATCTACGTTCCCCTCTACCCTTTCGGTCTGTACTACGTAAAGGCCCCTCGGGGTTAACGCCGTTCCGTTAATATCGGAACAAAAAGTCAAATCTTCCTTTACTTTTGGGAATGGAGACGACCGGACGATACCTATTCGGATATACCTCTCTCGCTGTTTTCTAAGAAACAGACCGACACAGAACCAGCTTCTGCAATCCAACCGTGTTCGTTTTTATCCTCTTACGTGTATTTTGTTTCATTAAAGAAGAAACTGACAGGACTAATTGTTTTGCTGTCATTGGATATTGAATAATTACTTTATTAATATTCTTAATAATATTTTTTAATAATTTGAAACAGATCAATCAATATTATATAATTTAAATTTAAAACTTGTTGATCTTTAATTGATCATAAGCAACTCTCCTATTTCAATAATTTGTTTTCTCTTGTTTCAGTAATTTGAATTGTAATTTTTATGCTTTGTGTTCTGTGTACTTTAAGTATTTAAATAATTTTATAAATAACAAAGAAAGAACGTTTAAATAGATTTGTTAGTTAAAAGAAGATTAAATAAAATTTCATCTGCTTACACTCTTTTCAACTAATAGGTCCATTTTTCTGTCGTTGAACATTAATTTAAAATCGTATTAACTTGTATTAACTAAATTATATAATTACATATATTACACGTAACTAATATGTAACTAATAATACACATGCAATTATATAATTAAAAGATATGTAAATTATTGATTTTTCATCGAGTATTTCTTGTTTTAGTAATTTTATTTCCTACCGTTTTAATAATTTTGTTTAATTTGTAATTTCAGAGTTTTACATTTTATATGCTTTAGATATGTTTTAAAAATAGCAAAGAAAAAAATTTTTAATATAGAATTGTTGATTAAAAATTTAAAAAAATGTTCATATGTTCTTTCGTTCGCGAAGCACGCTGCTGTTAAAGATAGATTCGATCTCTTCGTACAGGTAGGTAATCATATCCTGCGAGGCTGTGAAAGATCTTCGACCTTGAATCTTCTTCCTGATCGTTCAAGTGAGTCCGATTCGATGATCGATAGTACGTAAATTTTTACGAATCGAAGGCCAGAATTAATCAGTGTACGATAAACATTGATAAATCATAATTGTTGATATAATTGTTAAAATTAATTCGTAGACTTTGTAGATAGTCATTTTTTAAATAATTGTAATTTTATTCTGAAATTTGTATAAATTTCCAATGGTTTCATGTATTGTGTCATGTAGAAACATATATTTAATAATAGTTATTTAACTTGTTTGGACAGAATTTAATAAAATTCTTTCAATTTACTCGTAATTTTTTTTTATTTTCATAGTTAATGTGGTAGCTGTAAACAGATATAAATACAAAAGTATGTACAATAAATTTAAAAGTAAATATACAACAAATTTAAGAATTATATATTGATGCGTTACGTTTGATCCTACAAGAGATTAATGTCACTTTAAAATAATAAGAAACACAAATGGTAAAGTTACATGAAGCAGGACCTTAAATATTAAGCAGGTCTTAAATACTAAATATCCTTAATGGTTTAATACCATACGAAATATAAAAAGCTTGCTTAACAAGTATATAAACTTATGTATATCTACTGTTAGCTATTTCGTCTTTCAGCGTTCTATAGATTTTTTTACACATTCTCTAATTTTTTACACACAACTTTCCCATTCTTTAATTAATTGGTTATACGTACGTTTAATTTACATAGGGACGTATAATCTTTTTTTCTTAAAGTTCATTGTTTCATAAAAATAATGAATTGTGTGAAATGTTTTCTCAAAAATTGAATATTACGTCAATTAATTAAAATATATTATAAGGAAAAAGTCGATACATTGAGATTTTGAATTATGTTTATGATATACATATCTGTACTGTATTATTTTCATCAATAGATTGTCAATATCCTCTTACAAATATATCGTAAAATTTTATTAGTAATTTAGCAATATTAATTATAATCAAACATTTTCATACAGTTTTTTAAGGTTATTTCTAAAGTAAGAGAAAATTATATATCATCTTATGTAACAATTTTTAATCTCAAATCTGGCAATATTATTTACAAGATTATTATTAGTTATATAATAATTTTATTAACAAATTATTTACATACATATTTACATATATATTTTTAAGAAATCTTTTTTATAAAATAAATTTTTGAAATAAAATTTTGATTCAACATTAGACAAAATTAAGTTCTTGTTTCCTTCGCGTATAATAATATTGATAATATTAATAATAAGTTAGTAAAAATACAAATGATATAATAATTATAATACATATACAATATAAAATTATTAATTCAATTTATAGGTATGTAACATATTATGATAAATTGATAATTTTCGTATAAAATCGAGAATTTTTTATTCGTATATTTATTTTTATTTTTCATTTCAATGTATAAAATTATTCCATATGAGTCTAAAAATAATTTGCTTTTTTAATTTTAGCATTATTTTATTACAATTGAACCCAGAAGCAATAGAGTATTCCGAACAAAAGGTCAGGATCACTACTCAATGTAAGTACATATGTATGAAGACTCATATATTCATAAATAAACTCTTTTCACGACAACACATCCATAATAATAGCTATAAATATCATTCATTCTTTTTACTGTATGTTTACGATGAATTTTACAATACCTTACCCATTATTGAATTTTACAATTCATTACCAATTATTTTTCTATGTATTCAAAGTGAAAAGAAGCATCAGAATCAAACAGATATCTCATATCTCTGCTACATAAGTATCACAGTACTGTATAAAAGACTGCTGAAATAGAAAATACTGCTATAAAAAATATTGCTTTTTAAAGTTTAATTTAATGTCATCTATTAAATTTTGTTCTATTAATTATAGCTTGATTTGCGGATTTTCGTGCATATTTTTGACTATATAATTAAAAAAAATAAAATCTTGATGAAAAATTGTTTTTCATAATAAATATCATTGGAAGTATTACACTTTAGAAATTTTTTATATTATAATATATACATTCCGTGCAATTTTACATTTTGACGTTTCCAATAAATGCACAATTATAACTGGAAAAAATTCACAATTATAACTATATTAAAAAAATTTAAATACTATAAATCACGTATATTCAATATTAAGGGAAATTCATTATAAAAATATCAAAGTTAAAAATATTCGTGTCATTTTCTTACAAATTGAATTTCGGAAGGAGCGAATAGATATTTTTCAAATTTACCATTTTTTATTCTACTTAAGTAATTTTTCAATTCACAAATTATTTTAAAGAAATTGTAACAGTAACTGGCAATTCTTAATAGTTATATACATTGAAATTTGATATGCAGAAACGTACGATAATCATTAATTCTTTAGATTAAAAAATTTTAATACTGATTCGCTTGACTATTTAATTCGACATTATTGAAATAAGAAAGGCAAGGTCATTTAATCGACTTTATAATACGGAAGTTTGTGTCTACATATGTAAATGAAATTACTTTGCAATCGATGGATTTGCAAAGATCAGAGTCATATATAAAAAGTTGCATCACTTTCAGTTTTACAATGCTTGTGTGTAAGTACCAGTCAACACGAGTAACGTGTATCATCATCGATCGACGTCCCCTTTTCCGCTTCTATATTGTAGTACGTGTCAAAGAAGGGCGTAAGTAATGAGCTACTAGGCGCTATATTGCCGGATGTGTATGCGTGCATAATCTCGCGTATTGACACAGTTAGAATTCTGGTTTAGTGGGTCATTCGTATTAACTTTTAATATTATTTTTTGGAAAACAAGTATATTAACTATGAAATTGTGCGCATGCTCGCAGCAGGACGTCTCAAACTTGTTTCAAACCAACGATAAGGAATATTCCTGCAGAAAACCGGTTTCGCATAAATGCTACTTGCTTCAGATGATGATTATCTATTAAATATGATACCATTTGATTTACGACTAATTTGTCACAGGTTGATTATAAAAATTAATATTTTCATTCAGGAAAATGAAATGTATGTACATAGGTACGTGATGGAAAGTGTATTTTAAATTTGGAATTGGAAAGTATAAACATCACGAAAGAATAGAAAGTAAATCCAAGCAGAAATAAGTGGAAAGAAATAAAGATTCGAACAGGTTAGATTTTTTATTCAGGAATATGTATATGACAGAAATTATACTTTAAATTTGAAATTGAAAAATATATATATATACGAGGAAGTAGAAACTATACAGATAAAAATAAGCAGAAAGAAATAGATATTATATATATATACACTATAGATATATACACTATAGATATATAGATAAGTACAGCTTTATGATGAAAATAAGTCATTGATTCTTCTCTTTTAAATCAATAAATTTATAAAATTAATAAAACTCATCTATTATATATTGAATTTCGTGCCACAAATGTAGTAAAATGCGGCACGGTACTAGGTCGGTTGTAATTGACGAGCAGAAGTATGTTGCAATGCAGTGTACTGTAGAATTATTTTCAATTTTGTGTATTGGAACGATACTTCTCAAAGAAATTATTATTATTTAAATTGATGCATGTGAAATGTTATTTTTTCGGAATTATCAACTAACAATAAAAATAATTCATTCTTTCATCATCAACTATAATGTAGTTAGTTATATTCTTGACTATATTGAATAGAATTAATTATTAACTGTATTGAAAAATGAAAAATTTGATATAAATCCTGTAGAATATTTATTGTTAACAATATTTATAATAAAAACGTAGAAATCTTATTAATCGCTTATTAAAATTAAAACGATTCTAGGATTTTCTTATAAGTTTATACTGTGCTTAGAGAATTAATTATAAATATTGATATTTTTATTTAGAATTAGATATTATATATATATATATATATATATATATATATATATATATGATAAAAGTTATGTTTTAAATTTAAAATTATCAAATGTTAAAAAATTATAAAGTTAAAAT